TATAAGTTTAACATAACAGCAAATGTACAAGGTTTCGACAAGGTTTTGTCGAAACCTTGTACATTTGCTGTTATGTTAAACTTATATTAAAGTTTTTCTTCATTACCAATTCAAGTCGTCTCCAGCCATTATTAGAGACATGGTATGTTTTAATTGAATTTCCATATACTATACTCTTCAGCTGTAAGTTACATCTGAGAGTTTTCATCAACTTTAAGTTGACCATACTATATAGAAGCTAGGTTTACAGTGAAAACAATATTCCCTTGAGAATATGAATGAGTACGAATTCTAACCAAATCAAGAACTGCAAAATGAACAGTGTGATGATTTTCATTGTAATATTTCTCCTGTTTTTAAGTATGGTATAACATTGTAATTCTAGGCATTATTGCTACATAATAAATCAGTATACAGTAAGTTTCAATAAAGATGAATTGTTAAATTTAATACAAAATTTTGGTAAGTTCAAAGTAATTTGGAAAATTAATATACACTGCTCAACATTTTAAAATAATGAAACCATTATAAATGCTGTCATTTCTTGGATAGTTGCATCTACTTCTATTTTATCTCTAACTTTTATTGCATGAAGTATTTTCTAGTTAATAGATACAGTCATAAGTTCCTCCTTTATAAATATAAGAAAATATACTTTATTAATTGATTATTTACAATACTTCGTTAATATTCTGGGGAATGGCAAAAATACCCTATGAAGAGATCAAACTTTCATGAAATTTTCCATGATGAAAAGACTACTGCTGAACAAACCCTGGGCTGAAAGTGTTGAACAACAGACCATGCTGACATAAATAGAAAGTGGGATCTACGCATTCTTTGATGAATTGTTATGACACCATAGCTGAAGTGTGATGATTCGTCTTATAAAAGTCTGAAGAAAGAAATATAAAAGTTCTATAAGCAAATGAAAGAAACCTTGGAGAATTGTGTCCCTTGTTGGGCACCAGTGTGATGATTCTAAAGTTCATGCAATAATAAAACATCAACATTAGCCTCAACTAGCTCAATACAGTAAAGAGTGTATTTGTGGGTTCCCAAATGTTATACATAACACACATCCTGAAACTGTTGAGTTATGAAATCATAGTTTAATTGTATTACTGGCTTAGGTCTTTGGAGAGAAGACTGCCCTCTCCCAAACTGGTTTCTGTCCCCCCCAAAGGTTTTCCATTTTTTATATTTATGCAAAACCAATGATACTTTGTGCTCAAAATGTGGGATTATAATTTGTAAGAGCTTACTAAATGTGTAAAAGGTGATTAAATATATAAGACTGCATCTCACATAATTTTATATTTATCTAATGTAATTATGCCTAAATTTAAAAAAAAAAAAATATGTAACATGCAATATCGGGTGCTTCTATAATCCTTTTTTTTATATTAATGCCTTTGTTTTATTCTAATGCCATTTTAACTATTAGGATAAGACAATATGTGGTGATTGATGGCTTTTACTTTGGTAAAATGCATAATTTAAAATTGTAATTGTCATTCATTTGATAATTTTTCTTTTTACATCAGTAAGTGAGAATTTGAAATGTAATGAACATGATGTGAAGACATGCAAACAAGTAACGAGATATTTTGTTCATGCATTCATAGTAACTATATACTAACTACATAAACTATAGAAATACAGTTATCTAGTATATACTTATAACATAATAATCATCTGTTAATTTTCAATCAGATGAAGTTCTATTGGCCTTAGATTAGTCTGTTTCACTGTTAGTTGCATATGCAAAAGAAATTTTGACTGGAGTTTAAACTTAATTTTCTCTTTACATTTTATAACTACAGTAAAAATCATGCAAACATGAACATGTTGAATAACAATTTTTATTTTGGAATTTTTAAAACAGTCTGTTTTCAACTTTTTGTTTATACTTAAATATATATATGTATAGAATCTTAACATTATCTTGTACAGTACTATAAGTAGAGTTACAAATCTCAACTATTTTATGCATAGAAAAGCAACATGGCATTTTTTTTTACATTGTATAGTAATTAACTTGCAAGATATTTTTTAGTGAAGATGAGTATTTGGAGTATAAGTTGTCATATTATTGTTATATATCATGTCTTCATGCAAAGTGTTGATGTTTAGTTTAATCATAGTAGTAATACTAGTTGCTTGTCAATTAAATACAATGTAACAGTAGTTTGTTTATAGATATTGAAGATAAGGATAGCTACCATAACTTGTTTAGTTAAATTCTGGAATATTTTTATTGAAAAAATAAAGACTAAGTTTAACAATTACTTGAACCTGCCATTTTTTTACATAATTTAATATAATGCATGATTGAAGTGTGAATATCTAAACTTAAAGTTAAGTCAAGGTTAGTCTTGCCAGATTTACAACTTTTAACTTCCTTTGTTTCTTGTTACTTGGAAAGCGGTGTTTTCTGGCCAGTCTGATTAAAAAAAAATCTGAAATTCAAAAGTTTGTTAGTTGCAGTAATTACATGAGGTGCTAACTTTCTTTTGATATTGGAATTGTAGTAATTATGTAAAATGTTATTTTAAGCTATTTTTGGTTTAGGTAAACAAAACATAATTTTACATTTTGCAACACATTCAGTGCATATTTCATTTAAAAATAATCTGTATAATCAATAGTTTTGTGGTGCATAATTTCAAATTGTTGGCCACATAAGTTTAATTTCTTTTCCTGCATAAAAATTGGGGGCCTTTAAATAAGGAAGTCACGAAACAAGTATAACGTTTCATTTGTGTACATGATTTTAAAAGGTCAACTTTGTAGAAGTATCTTGTATACATTTTTTAAATGGCAGCTTAGAAGAAATTATGTTTTGTTCACTGTATTTTTGTGCAGTATCAAGTGTTCATATAATAATGACTAGAGATGGCTTGAATGGATAATGAAGAAAAACTTTAATATAACAGCAAATGTACAACGTTTCGACAAGGTT